ATAGTGGCTTAATCATGCATGTTATCATCCATAATATTCCATTTCTACTTTCATGTATATATGTTTTATACCCCATGTCTGACCCTCTGCCCTATTCCACTCTCGTATTACACTATCTCTGCTGTCTACAGTTATCTTCAATTCCTTTTCCTCTTAAAAAAAAAATTCTAGCTTATTCAGAGTCAGTGGACATGTTGTCATTTCCATCTGGCCATGTTGCTAGTAGATCTGATTACATTCCCTAGGGTCTGACCCTTGTTTCATGCTAGCTTTGTAACATCTAAATAAAATTCCTTTTTCCTTATAACTTTCATAATTGTTCTTTTTGGCTCAACACCTTCATATACTACTTTTCCTCATAAAGCTTTAGATCTCCTAACACAAATCGCTGTAAAGTTCTTGATAGTTTCTCTAAGGAAATAAATGTTGCTAGAGATGCATTAAGACTTAAAGAAATTCCAAATAAAATTATAAGACAAGGGGCCAGCAGGTGGTGTTAAGGTGGCTGGATCCAACAAGGCCTGCTGCACATTTTGAGTCCTAGAACTGGTGGCTTGAAAATGACACCAGGGGCATGTACTTGCATGCCCAAGATCCTGAGAGAAGAATGGAAGAGAATAGATTGCAGTGTGGTAAGACCCCTGGGGGGGTGTGCTCTCTCTCTCTCTCTCTCTCTCTCTCTCTCTCAAAGTGCACACGCTCTGTCTGTCTCTCTCTCTGGTGAGTGCATGCTCCCCATAGCAAAAACTGTAAAAAAAAAATGGCAAGACTGCTTTTTACTTCTAAAATTGGGAAAGATTTCAGAATGATTATATTCCCATTCTTGCCAATACCATCAAATAGACAGACTCAGCCTACTTCCCAGGGACTCAGTACAATATAGCTAAAGGATAATTTAATAATACTTATCCAAATGGTAAATATCTAGACAATGATTATGGTTACTTGATTCTGTAAATCTACAAAAAAAAGTCATTGAACTGTATTATTAAGTAATTATTTAATTTTATTTATCATTATTATTATTTTTAATTTGCCATAAGGCACATGTGTTCACCAGAAAGAGCAAGAGAAAGTGAGAAAACAGGCTGCCAAGTCCAGGACTAGAACCATGGTTGGCCACGTGCGAGTCCAGCATCTCAATAACTACACCACCTGCTGGCCCTGAATTGCATTCTTGAAATGGATGAATTGTGTGGTATGTAAATTATACCTCAATAAAGCTCTTTAAATTTAAGTTAAAAGTGTGCAATTTTTAAGAGATTTTTGCTATGGGGTATTTATGCCCACTGGAGAGACAGAGACAGACAGAGACATAACAGTGAGAAATCACCCCCTCCCCCAGAGTGGATAGCCATGCCTCAGTCCCTTCTCTTCCATCCTCCTCTTGGAGTTTTGGCCATGTACACACACCCCTGGTGTGAGTTTCAAGCCGCTTGGTCCAGAACTTGAACCACAGTCAGCCACATGGGAGTTCAGTGCCTTAATCACTATGCCATCTGGTGGCCTCAGTGCACATTGTTTGAGATAACAATTCTACTTCTGTAAACACATACTATAGAAAATGTTTTTACAAAATAACATCAAGTAGTTGAGATGTTGAATATATTAATTATCCCTGTTTAATCATTACCCATTGTATTCATGTACTGAAAAATCACATTACATCCCCCATGAGTATATACAACTATTATGTTAATTTAAAAAAAAGAATTTTTTACCTGATAAATGATATTCCAGAATAGTATAGAGTGATAATTATCATTGTTTACCATATTTTTTAGATACTAGAAGAATAGACATGCAATTTTTACTTTGAATCATTTTTACTTAACTTTATTTGTTATTATTTAATTTGAATGGGGGGGGAGAGTGAAAAAGCAAACCACCAAGTCCAGGACTCAAACCACAGTCTGCCATGTGGGAATCTACAACCTTTAACCACCACACCACTTGCTGGCCCTTACAATTTTTACTCTTAAAACAGAAATTACTACAAATATTAGTACAAGAGAATCTACACAGCCAGCAGAGTGGAACTGCCAATTCTACTCTATGTCCACTCTACAGGTTACATTAGAGAGGTTGGGTTAATACAAGAAAAGGAAGAATGAAAGCCACTAGGATAAGAGACTGTCCCAAACTCATGCAAATCTTACTTTGATTGCTTTCAATCCATGAGATATTTCATCTTCTTCCACAATTGCAGTAACCTTTTGTCCAACTTTTAAAGGTGTATTACCAGTCACAACATCACTTTTGAAGTGGATTGACTCATTAATTAAGCCATAATCGCTACAGAAACTTGTCACAACTCCCTGCACAGTTTTCAATTTGGTGTCACCTATGAGATGAGTAAACAACAGGTTATGTTAATCTCATAAGCAAACACTAACTCTAAATAAGTTCTACCAGAGGAAGATAGGGTAGACAATCATCTACTTTTGAAACAGTATGGCCTGCATTTGAGAAACAGATGACACAGACAATAGAGCATAATGATGACTTGTGTGAAATTCTAAAGGCAGAGTGTCCAGGTTCAAATTTTGGCTCTACCACTTCTCTCTATAGCACAGTAGCCTCACATCACAGGCCATGGAGAGTAGTGATTAAGAGCACTGTGTCAAGTCAGACTGCCTTGATTTCCATTATAACTCCTACAAATATCATCTGTGTAACTAGACAAATTTCTTTACCTCTCTAACCCTGTTCTCATCTGTCAACTGAGGAAAATAACAATTTCTGCCTGAAGAGTAACTGAGACATACATGTCAGTTAATGTCACATACCTGTCAGGACATACACGTCAGTATACATCACATAACTGCAATGCCTTGCAGATTAGAGTATAAATGTTGTTGTTATACCATATCTGCATGTTCAGTCTTTAAATGACTGCTATTATTATATAACTTCATAATTTTCATAAAATAATGTGCAATAGTATCTGGAGATTATTAGATATCTCACCAGACAAATCACTAAAAGATATCAAGATTATAAGTCTAGCCCAAAAGCACATCCAAATCATCAGGGAGTTTCTTTTGTCTGAATAAGCATAGCTGGTAAATGATATTTTGTGATCTGAACCCAGGCAGTCTGTCTGTTGAAGAATCTGAATTCTGAATCAGAAAGTTACAAATTCTTACACAACTTGGGTGAACTGACAGAATGGCAGTGAGGAGTTTTGTTTTTGTGTGTGTATGTGTTGTTGTTTTTAAAGGGTCTTGCTATGTCACAATCCTCCTACCTTCCTTAGCCTCCTTAGCAACTAGGACCACAGGCGTGCACCACTGTTTGCAGCTTTTAGGATAGTCCAGGAATCAAACATGAACTGCTCCCCCCCATGTGACCTCAGCCTACAGAGTAGCAGCATATATCAGTGTATGCCATTGTGGCTGGACCAGAAAATTGATTACACTAGATTATGAAAACATAAACCAGGAAAATCTGACAAATTGAAAAACTAGTGGGTCATAAAAAAAGAAAGAAAAAATATAAACTAATGGGTCAAATGTGTTAGTTACATCATATCACAGAAGAAAAAGGAAGGACAATGGAGACAACTGCCACTCAGGCACATGAAAATTTATTGAAGACTCTTCAGTGCATACCCCATTTGGTAAAAGCAGAGCTAGTAATGAATGCTGCAGTGAGAGATTTCAGGCAAAAGCTTAGAAACCATCATCTCTGGCAAACTTTGCTAAGACTCAGCTACCTCTGCAGGGCTTCAAACTCCACTGGCAGAGAAGCCACAGGGAGATTCTTACACCAAAAAGACAGGTCCCTGCTCGGAGGACACTACTAAGCAAAGCGCAGTCCCTTCCACTAGTCGCTCCTGGAGACACTGAATTGACTCTGGTGGAAAGAAGCGTCTGCAGAGGTGGGAGCATAGCGGGTAACACATGGCTGCCAGATCTGAGTGTCTGAGTGTGAGTTCTGCTGGACCACAGACCAGCTATGTGTCCCCTTTCCTGTCTGTGTCCCTAAATCGGCTGTAGCGTGGATACCACAACACTAGGACTTCTGTCATTGGGGTTTTTGTCAGAATTAAATGACATGAATGTCCTTAAAGCCCTTGGTTCCAAGATTGGCACACATGAGATCTCAACACAAATTAGAATTAATATAATTCAGAGCAGAGATGCCATTTATCCCAGCATACCTTATCACATTTTATGGATTCCCATTCACCACATACAAATATCATCATTTGTTTCCCCAGTCTGGGGCAGAATTTTAGGATACAAAGGTGAGCAAGTTAAATATGTGTGTCAAGTCAGACTGCCTTGATTTCCATTATAACTCCTACAAATATCATCTGTGTAACTAGACAAATTTCTTTACCTCTCTAACCCTGTTCTCATCTGTCAACTGAGGAAAATAACAATTTCTGCCTGAAGAGTAACTGAGACATACATGTCAGTTAATGTCACATACCTGTCAGGACATACACGTCAGTATACATCACATAACTGCAATGCCTTGCAGATTAGAGTATAAATGTTGTTGTTATACCATATCTGCATGTTCAGTCTTTAAATGACTGCTATTATTATATAACTTCATAATTTTCATAAAATAATGTGCAATAGTATCTGGAGATTATTAGATATCTCACCAGACAAATCACTAAAAGATATCAAGATTATAAGTCTAGCCCAAAAGCACATCCAAATCATCAGGGAGTTTCTTTTGTCTGAATAAGCATAGCTGGTAAATGATATTTTGTGATCTGAACCCAGGCAGTCTGTCTGTTGAAGAATCTGAATTCTGAATCAGAAAGTTACAAATTCTTACACAACTTGGGTGAACTGACAGAATGGCAGTGAGGAGTTTTGTTTTTGTGTGTGTATGTGTTGTTGTTTTTAAAGGGTCTTGCTATGTCACAATCCTCCTACCTTCCTTAGCCTCCTTAGCAACTAGGACCACAGGCGTGCACCACTGTTTGCAGCTTTTAGGATAGTCCAGGAATCAAACATGAACTGCTCCCCCCCATGTGACCTCAGCCTACAGAGTAGCAGCATATATCAGTGTATGCCATTGTGGCTGGACCAGAAAATTGATTACACTAGATTATGAAAACATAAACCAGGAAAATCTGACAAATTGAAAAACTAGTGGGTCATAAAAAAAGAAAGAAAAAATATAAACTAATGGGTCAAATGTGTTAGTTACATCATATCACAGAAGAAAAAGGAAGGACAATGGAGACAACTGCCACTCAGGCACATGAAAATTTATTGAAGACTCTTCAGTGCATACCCCATTTGGTAAAAGCAGAGCTAGTAATGAATGCTGCAGTGAGAGATTTCAGGCAAAAGCTTAGAAACCATCATCTCTGGCAAACTTTGCTAAGACTCAGCTACCTCTGCAGGGCTTCAAACTCCACTGGCAGAGAAGCCACAGGGAGATTCTTACACCAAAAAGACAGGTCCCTGCTCGGAGGACACTACTAAGCAAAGTGCAGTCCCTTCCACTAGTTGCTCCTGGAGACACTGAATTGACTCTGGTGGAAAGAAGCGTCTGCAGAGGTGGGAGCATAGCGGGTAACACATGGCTGCCAGATCTGAGTGTCTGAGTGTGAGTTCTGCTGGACCACAGACCAGCTATGTGTCCCCTTTCCTGTCTGTGTCCCTAAATCGGCTGTAGCGTGGATACCACAACACTAGGACTTCTGTCATTGGGGTTTTTGTCAGAATTAAATGACATGAATGTCCTTAAAGCCCTTGGTTCCAAGATTGGCACACATGAGATCTCAACACAAATTAGAATTAATATAATTCAGAGCAGAGATGCCATTTATCCCAGCATACCTTATCACATTTTATGGATTCCCATTCACCACATACAAATATCATCATTTGTTTCCCCAGTCTGGGGCAGAATTTTAGGATACAAAGGTGAGCAAGTTAAATATGCATCTTGTCCTCCTACAGGACCAGATATATGACTTATCCATTTGATTCTAAATATATGCCCATTTGGGATACAAGACTAAATTCACCCTCAAATTAGCGAGTTTTTCTACCCACTGGAAAGAGAAAAAGGCTGGTACTGTGCAACGCACATGGGGAAATGAAGGGTAAGAAGAGCCATCTAGGGTCTTGTCAACATCTTCCCACTTTAGATAGCCAGGAGAGTTTGGGGTTTGAGTCGATGCCAGCCTAGCTCTTGGGCATGTAAGAACTTGGAGACCTCCACTATTCACATACACACAAGATGGCATCACCACTGAGTGTTCCTGCATCATACCCGAGGCCACACATTAGGGATGAGGAGATGCCCTGTGGGGACACTCCTTGTATGGGGGACTAGAGGACACACAGAGGGATACCTTGCAGGGGCCTCATGTGTTGTGGGTATTGCTCCTGGGCATGATCCACTCTCCTCCGGAAGCAGGCTGTTGCCCGTCTCAGAAGTCTGATCATGGCACCGATGTCACCTGACTGGCCTGGGCACTGCGAGAGAGATGAAGTGTGAGAAAAACCATGCATGATGCCTGCTCTATTGGATGCCTTCGGGTCACTGTGTCCTCTCAGAGCATGGACTCCTGCTTCTCCTTAGTCTTTGTGATAGTACCCAAAGCTAGTTAGCTGCTCTGAGAAGAGCCAAGATGCCAGCACTCCTCTGGCTCATGCCTTTCATATTCTCCTCATACTCTTACCCCTGAGCATAGGCTATTCAAAGGCCTGCCCTCTTCTGCTGTTCAATCAATGGATATGCGGCAGGTGGGGGTACAGCTCCTGTGGATAATAGGTATGGGTGGGGACATCACAGCTGCTCCCATCAATGCTGAGGGCACCATTAACATGGCCTCAGGTGTGAATCTTGGGAGTTATGGCCCTGTGTGTGTTGAGGGGTAAAAGGGCTCCCCTGTGGGGTTCCATGGGAGTAATGGTTTGGAAGGTGTAACAGAAACCTGCCCCCAGGCTGTGCAAACAGTAACTCCAGTACTCAACATTATGTTTATCTTTAGTGCTTAGTATAAGGGCTGACCACTTGGTGGATGGTCAGTAGTCACACTGCAGGGATGATGTGTTTGTGTATGTGACCTCTCAGTGATACTAAGTACGTCTTTGTACTACACTCCATTTTGGAACCCAATAGTAATTTATCATAGAATTATTTGACAATCACTCCTATAATGTATTCATTGCTTATCTAATTATGTCAGGTATTATGTTATACATATTATATATTAATATATTCACTCATTTATTAAACTTTTGTTGAGTACTGACTATAAGCTAGATGCTATTCTAGGAGGTTGGAATTAATCAGTGAACAAAAGAGGTGAGTATCTTGGCCCCATTTGCTCATAAGAAGAATGTAAGGGAGAAAGTAAACATAAAAAATTCTAAAACACATGGTGTTAGAAGATAAGAAATCTCATGATAAAACATATCAGAGAAAGGGGGTTCCAGACAGTTGGAGAGGGATGTTGGATTGCACATTAGAACAGGGGAGTTGTGGTCAGCAGGTGGTATGATAGTTAAGGCAGCCGTATCCCACAGAGTTGACTGTACCATTCCAGTTCTGGACCCAGTAGCTTTAAAAACACAGCAGATGCATATGCATGCATGCCCAAAATCCCAAGAGGAGGGAGATATGGCAGAGAAGAGATTGATGCGTGACTCCCACAAGGAGTTCTTTTTCACTTTTCCTCTCTTTCTCTGTCTCTAGCGAGTGCACATCCTTATCGTTGACTAGAGGGCAAAAACAAAACAAAAAAAAAAAAAAAAGGGGGGGGGGGGTGTGGTAGGCTTTATTAGAAAGCAACAATCGAGCAAAGCCTTGAGGGAAGTGATGACATTCTCTAGGTAACTATTTGGGGGCGGAGCTATCCAGAGGGAGGGAGAAGCTTGTGCAAAGATTGTGAGACAACAGTGAGCCTGACATATTCAAGGAAAAACTAAGTGGCTTGAGCAGAGGAAGTGAGAGCTAGAATAGCCAGAAATTTGGAGGGAGAGGTCATAGGGATTCAGGCTGTGTAGGAATTATAGATCACTAAGTTCTTTGGCTGAAATCCCTGAAGGTTTTGGAACCTTTGAGGGAATCCCTGTAGCTGATTGGCTGTGAATAAGCTTATAGAGGCCAAAGCACACAGCTAAGAGGTTACTGCTGTAATACATGGCCACTGTGGATGGAACTTATGGGTCCTTCCTCTTCTTCAGTGAAAGCAGGTCATAGAATTGTGATCCACAGTCATCTACTTGTGGAGTTGAAAATGGAAGACCTCAAGAATCACGTAAGAGCAGTGCTGGTTGTCAAGGGAAAATCTATAGGGAGGTTACAGGAGTGCCCAATGCAATGAGCTAGCAGTGTTCACTGGACTTAGGGGATCACCAAGGATTGAGGAAATGGATCTGGACAACAACAGGCTAGAAAGGAGCATAGAGAGAGAACATGGCTTGTCCCTTCAACACATAACACATGAAAGACATAAGAGACATAGAGAGGTGAAGGGGAATGAAGGCAGGGTTTTTCCTGAAGGTGTTAGTAATATGTAAAACTTTATAAGTTGTATTCTGTACCAGGCACTGTTCTGGGTATATTACATGTGACAACTGATTTAATCCTCAAAGCTTTGCAAGGCAGATATTATGTTCAATTCTTTTGTAGATGAGAAACCCAATGCCAAAGGAAATTGAGCAGCTTTCCTGAGGGCCCTAAGTCAGGAAGAAATGGGATTTGGGCACAAGCAAATTGGCTCCATCACTGGTGCCCATATCTGCAGTATCACTCAGCTTATTCATTGCTTATCTAATTATGTCACCCACTGAGTGGACGACACATATCTTTCTGCTCTTTCCTCCCTTCACTCAAAAAACACTCCCGAAGGCAAGGTACAGACACTGAATAGAGGAATAGTTGTCAGATCAAGACAAGTTGAGATATTTGCCTGTGGTCATTCAGAGACATGGTGGAGGGGTTGACTTCACAGAGAGGGAGGTGATAGGGGTCCTTAACTGGGGCTCCACAGCTGCATTTCTGGGGCTCTATAAAGTGCATCAGACAAGTTGCAGATCAAGCATTTTCTGGAGAGAGAATCCATTTCCATCATCAGATCTTCAGAGACATAGAAACCCCACCTGCATCCCAGGCTGCTCTCAGCTTTGGAGGAAGTGGTTAGAACAGTATATGGAACACAGCAAAATATATTTCTCTTTAAAGGATACTGTTAAGCAAATAGAAAGATAAGCCAGAGATTGGGTAAAAATATTTGCAGAACATATATTGAATGAAAGACTTGTATCAAGAATATGAAGAGAACGCGCACAGGGGTAGCTATATTTATAGCAGATAATATAGACTTTATGTCTATATTAAAAACCAATAAGAGCAATTTTTGAAAATTCACAAGAATAAATAAATTGGCAGAATACAAACTGCGATAAAGAAGGTCATTACATTGGGTCGTCAGAAAAGTCATGACACATTTTTGCATAGAAAAACATAGACATCATGGCTTTTCTGACAATTCAATATAATGACAAAGTGGCCAATTCACCAAGAGGATATAATGACTATAAATATATATGCACTCAACATCAAAGCACCTAAATATATAAAGCAACTATTAAAAGACCTGAAGGGAGAAATACACACAATATGACAGTAATAGAGGGGCTTCAATTCTCCATTTCAGAAATGGAGAGATAATCTACACAGAAAATCAATAGGGAATCATGGACTTGAATTGCCCTTTAGACCAAATGGAACTAACAGATATAAACAGAACATTTAATTTAATAGCAGAAGAATACACATTATTTTCAGGACCAGTATATGGTGTAATGGTTACATCACTGGACTCCCACATGCTCGACCATGGTTCAAGTTCTGGACTCTGCAATTTAAAACTCATACCCGTCACATGTGTGTAGGTGTGTGTATGTGTGTGCGCACAAGATCCTTAGAGGAGAATGGGATAAGGGATTGTGGCATGGCCATCTGCCCTGGGGGAGTGATTTCTCACTTTCTGTCTCTGTGTCTCTCCTGTGAGTGCGAACATCCTATAGCAAAAATTTCTCTTAAAAAAAAAAGAATACACATTTTTTCAAGTGTACATGGAATATCTCCAGGACAGATCACATGTTAAGCAACAAACAAAAATCTTTACAAATTTAAGAACATTAAAATAATATCAGGTATGTTTTTCAACAAAAATGATATGAAACTAAAAACCAATAAGAGTAAGTTTTGAAAAAAAAATAAACAAGATGCTCCTGAATACCAAATGGGTAGAAGCCACCAACTGGTGGGGGCCGGGGTACAGAGAGGACATATGCTTTCTAATAGCATTTGATCCCTCTCAGAGAGCAGGGAGCAGTTCTCCTGGGGAGAAAAATAGAACAATACCTCAAAACTAGAAGAAGCCACGGGCCTTCAGGACAAGGTTCCAAATGGCGACAGTGAACTAGACTTTTAAGGGAATGAAGATTTTCTACTAATGATTCAGCCTCCAACAAACGAGCTAGCAGCAGAAGCCAAGGGCCTTCAGGACAAGGTTCCACATGGATACAGTGAACTAGATTTTTAAGGGAATGAAGATTTTCTACTAATAATTCAGCCTCCAACAAACAAGCTAGTGGTAGGGAGCCTCCTGCTGCACTGCTAGCCTTCTATCTCTTTTTCTCCTTC